CCAGCAATTTCCACCTGCTGGACTATGTTAAAAGCTACTGAACCATCATGCAAAGCACCTCCCTTCATGAGCTATAAAGCCCCAATCCTGCTTGCTGTCTCTGCACTATTGCTGACGTTCGGTGCAGATACTGTGGCTAGTGCAGAACAGCAGCTGTGATCTTCCTGGAACGCTTCTTTTGATCTTATATCTTCTTACCGCTCCAAGATCTTTTAAAAGTAACATTACCATTTGTTGTCCATCAGGTAGGTGTTCTCTGACCTCCACGAGACTCCAAAACTCTCACTGATTGAACAATTACACAGATTACACACATGGCTTTATGCTGTGGAACCATTCACATGCTTGTGTCCGCCACGGTTTAGATTAAGAAAGTTCACTAAATCCTTTCATTCTGCAGTAAGAAAGTTCCTCCACCAGCCCACACCTCCCCTCCCTTGCTTTGAATTTCCAGGACAGCTCTCTAAGTAGTTCACACTCACACAACCATGGAGTTGGCCGTGGCATTTGCACCGGGACGTCACCCTGAGGACAACCTACTGCTTGTTCTAAGGGAGCAGCCACCTCAGTATGCCAAACACTCGCTTTTAAAACCTGTTCCCAGCTCCTGGGTTCTCCTTCCACCACAATTGGCAGTCTGTTCTCTCCCTGCAGGGTGGGGTGGAGGTGCTGCTAAAGTTTATTAACTCTTTTTTTTCCTCCTTGACTCGTTCTGAGGTTTGGGCACACCTATAATACAACACCTCATGACCTACATTTGCTGCGAACGATTTTGCAGCTCTATTTCAGATCTTTCAAGAGGTGTGGAAGTGGAGAAATACAAACTTCAGCACTAAAGAAGCACTAGGAGTTTTGTTTTCAGAAGGTTCTGGATAGTAGGTAATGAAGGTGGAAGAAGAAGAGAAATTATTATCTAGTGCAATGTCTTTTTTCTTGTGGTAAAATGACTGTTATTAAAAGGAAAATGAAAGACACGTACAAAGACAGAAACAGCAGAGCTAGAACAGCTGTTTTCAGAATTAATGAGATATAACTCATCTTTAATTTGTTTGTTCAGGGAAGCTTTTGGGTACTTCTCTGTTTTGCCCATTTGTATTAGGTCTTTATGTGAAGTACTTCTGGACCTCACAGTAAAACAAATGTCTCAGTAGGAAATATATAGGAACTTTTTTTTCCAGCGTCAAAGGGTCTTTCCACAGAGCATCAGCCAGAAACATGGCGAAGCATTGATTATTGCTGTGCTTTTCAAAGGTAAGAAGCGTCTGCGTTTGCCACACGTGGCACCTTCATGTGTTCAGCAACTTGACTTTTCGGCAGTCTGTCCTTGTGGGCTAAGCCTGTTTTCCTGCGGGATGGGTACCTTCCCATTGCCTGGCACTGGCTGTGGGCTGAGATGGTTTGTGCAGACAAACGCTGCCCCTCCACTGAGCTTCATCAGCTCCCTGTGTCCTGGTGGCTTCTGGCACCTGAGCTCCAGCTGCTCATGCAAAGTCTGCGTCTGGCTCGTGGCTACGCAAGAGGCAGCGTGTGCCCTGCATTCCTCCAGGACCAGGCAAGGCTTTTTGAGTAGTTCTTGGAGTAAAGGAAGCGCTGTGAAGGGCAGGCTCTGTGTATGGGGTGGATCTGTGGCTGTGGTGGAAGAGCTGGAGTCTCAGTGGGTGAAAGGGGTGGCAGGGGGCATTGACTGGGAGGGGATGGAGATCCCCAGCACCAGGCAGCCCCTTCCCAAGAAGGCTCTAGACCCCTCTCAAAGGGGCTGCTGGACACTGACAGCACAGGACAGGCTGTACAAGGGCTCTGCTGATGCAAAATCCTGAAGTTCAGGTTCGCATGAGCCTTTTCCCACCCTTAGCCTTCTGGTGACGCAGGTTGGAGCTCCTCACCTTACTTGGCCTTGCTGGCCGCAGCAGCTGAGGGGGCACGGGGCTGCGAAAGAGCGCCCGCTGTGCCATGGCTTTCTGTGGGCAGCGGGAATGACCAGCTGGCTGTGTGCTCGCCCGTCTGTCCCAGGGAGAGGAGCTGTGGCACCTGCTGTGGGCCCGACCCACGCTTGTCCCGCTGCAGGCTGAAGGCCAGAGCCAGCCAGAGCTGTGCTGGGGGGACGGGAGGCCCTTCTCGCCGTCCTGGGGCTGTGTTTGCCCCCAAACAAGGTGCATTTCTGCAGCGCAGGCCAGAGCTACTCATCTCTATATCTGCAAGTAGGCAGCAGCGTATGGTTTGCTTTTTTTTTTTTCTGGACACAGAAAGTGATGTGGGATTTTTTGGGTATAATGATTACAGAAAAGCTCGTGCAATCCCACTGGTACCCACACAACAGGTTTACAATTCTTCTCCTAAGGGACAGCAAAGGAGTTTCTAAACATCTTTTTCTTTTTTTTTCTTTTTTCTTTTTTTTTTTTTATTTGTCTTTTTTCTTTTTTTTCTTTTTCTTTTTTCTTTTTTCTTTTTTTTTCTTCTTTTTTCTTCTTTTTTATTTCTTTTTTCTTTCTTTTTTCTTTTTTCTTTTTTCCTTTTTTCTTTTTTCTTTTTTTCCTTTTTTCCCTTTTTTCCTTTTTTCCTTTTTTCCTTTTTTCCTTTTTTTCCTTTTTTCCTTTTTTCTTTTTTTTCCTTTTTTCTTTTTTCTTTTTTTCCTTTTTTCCTTTTTTCCTTTTTTCCTTTTTTCCTTTTTTCCTTTTTTTCCTTTTTTCCTTTTTTTCCTTTTTTTCCTTTTTTTTCCTTTTTTCCTTGTTTCCTTTTTTCCTTTTTTTCCTTTTTTTTCAATTTTTTTCCCTTTTTTCCCTTTTTTCCCTTTTTTCCCTTTTTCCTTTTTTCCTTTTTTCTTTTTTTTCCTTTTTTTCCCTTTTTTTTCCTTTTTTTCCCTTTTTTTTCCTTTTTTTCCTTTTTTTTCCCTTTTTTTTTTCCTTTTTTTTCCTTTTTTTTTCTTTTTTTTCCCCAGATAAGTCCCAACTTGTTCTTGGCAGAGTAGATTTAATGTAAATGATCCACAGAAAAGGTATCAGACTGTTATGTATCTAGTACAAAAGAAGAGAGTGACACAGATCTTGTCTTATCATTGAGCAGGAATTTACAGATTTCTTTCCAGGGCTGTCAAGCTATTGCTTGGCTTGGAAATTTCAATTGTGTATCCTGCCTGAATCCGTGGCTCCTGGAAAACACATGAGGAGGAAAATAGTGTATTTCAAATTGTTCATTTCCATATGTAGTTCAGTCTCCATAGCTGTTAATGACCCTTTTTCATATATGAAAACGTTTAACTAGTAGGGATTTTATTTTTATAAGCTCACTATTTGAAATCCTTGTACCATGGCTCTGGCTACCAGACATGGTTATATGCGGGCATACTTTCTGTCAACAAGTTTCTGTCACTAATAGTATGTTGTTACAAGAGGAAAGATTTGATATAACTGTACGCATCAAATCAGTTTGGAGAAGCAAAATGTTAATCCACAGTTAACTGATTTCAATTCCATGATCTGAAATAAGATACACCATGGCATAAGACAAAAAAAATGGTCCTTTCTGAGGAATTCCTGTTGTGAACATAGGTCCCTCTTCCAGACCTGCTGTGTCCTTGCTCCTGCTGTGTAGCATGGACCAACAGATGTGCGCAAGATTGAGTGTTTCAAACTCTCAGAGTTTAACAAACTTCTATTATTTAGCAACCTGCAATGGGCCAATCTCAGGGCAGACAAATGCTGCACAGTGTGATCTAGCTAGGCAACAAGCTGCATTAAATTTCTTCTTTCTTTTGTGCTCCCAGTCAGCAGCTGCTTCTTGATGGGGTCCATTTCTAGACCAATTACTGAGTTTTGCCTTGATCTCTACAACAAGCTCAACAGAAATGCAGAGGATATGAACATCGTCTTCTCTCCAATGAGCATCTCTGTTGCCCTGGCCCTCGTCCATCTAGGTGCAAAAAACACCACTGCTGCTCAGATAGAGAAAGTAAGTATTAATGAAACATGCCGAGATGCTTCCACATTGCTTGCTCTTCCCCTAATGGAAATGTTGGGCATCCTAGCACGACACGTGTGTGAGGGTGTCATAGGAAACAAGCACAAGTACAAGCGCAGATCCTGCCTTCACAGTTGTGCTTGATGCTCTAGGATCCTTGCCATCTGCTTGTGTGAGTTGCATCACGCCCCATGAAGACTCAGGAGCATGGAGCAAGAGCTGAATGAGAGGAGGCCATACACCACAGCGGGGCACTCTGGCTTTCCCCGAACCTGCTGCCAGAATATCAGACTTTGTTTCCAAGTTATGGGCGAGTGTTTCCTCTCATGGTTGCTCTGAGAATCCTGAAAATGTGAGTCTAGGTGGATAGTGGGGAGACAGTTGCAGAAACCTGAAGTGATTGCACCTGGGTGACTGGAAGAATTACCTCACTTATCACTTCTGACATCCAAGAGTCAAAACGTCTCACCTGCAGAGTGCACAGGGACCCAGGTGGGCAGGGAGGGTGTGAAGAAGACCACCCCTCTGATCACTGTGGCTTTACTCCTCACAGTGCAAGTTCTGCTTTCTACAGTCTTTCTTCTCTTTTCTTGTTTGTGCCCATGGGCAGTAAAAGACCAATAATCCCAAGGTGGAGGTTCTTGTCAGTAGCTGGCTCTGTACTGGTAGACCTTCATCCATCATATCCCAACACTGCCATGTCACCCACAGCCAAGGTAGACACGCCCTCCTCATGAGGTTCCCAGGGTGTGGTGGGTTGACCTTGGCTGGTGGCTGCCAGGTGCCCCCCCAGCCACTCTCTCACTCCCCTTCTTTGACAAGGATAGGGAGAGAAAATAACATGAAAATGCTTGTAGGTTGAGATAAGGACAGGGACATCACTCACCAATTACTGTCGTGGCAAAACAGACTTGACTTATTTTGGAGCTGGCTGGAACCAGCTCTGTTTGACATGGGGGCGGCCCCTCAGCTCTTTGCACAGAGGCCACCTCTGTAGCCCCCTGGCTACCATAACCTTGCCATATAAACCCAATGCACAGAGACTCTTGCTTATTTTAGGAAAGCAATGGGGATCCAGTATCCACAACAAAAAAGATTAAGTCTATGTATGACCCAACATTATCATAATGGAGAAGCTGCAGGAAATTTTTCAGTGAGGTATTTGCACATTAGAAACAAGGACTGGTTTCCATTAAGAGCACTGTGATTTTGATATATTTCCTAAGCTGATACAAAGATTAAGAATGATTACAAAAAGTTCAGTTTTGGTGTTTTCACAGAAAGCTACTTTTGTCTCTTCCCTGAGGCAACTTTTTTTTTTGAAATTTAAGGTAACAATAGCGATAAAAATACAAGTCAAATGTGAACATTCTGAGGTAGTGGAGAGTAACGTTTTGAGGGATTAAATGGAAGTTCTTGGTTTGCTAATATAGAAATGTGAATTTGGACACAAATATATGAACAATTTCAAGTCTGTCATTTCAGCCTGATTGAAGCTGAGAAAATATCTTTCATAAATCTAAACCTGCACCATTTATCCAGGACAGCATAGCAAATCTTTTAAACAAGGAAAATGCTTTTATCTCAGTTAAAATAATTTGGCATCTTCAACTGCAGGTGCTCCATGTCAGGAGAGCTGCAGGAAGAACGAGCCTTGGATCTGACCTTGAGAGTGCAGCCCCAGAACGAAGCCAGGAAAGGCAGTCGTCCCTCTCACAGGTACCTCCTGGGGTGAGGAGCACAGGAGCCTTTGGTAGGTTACTAGTTATAAAGCACTGGAGTCTGCCACTGGAGGGAGTCAGAATCCCATGCACCAAGTCTGCCTGATCCACCTGGAAATGCCTGATATAAGGTGTTACCTTATTAAGGGCCAAGTCTTCCAAGAAATCAATACCAAAGCCTTCAGTGATCTCATCTGAAGGAGGATCGGGCTACAAAGCTTGGACTAGGTCGATTCGAAAATCAGTGGAATCAGGAATGAGCCCTATAGTGTAATCTAATTAGGATGCAAATTAACAACCAAAGCTATATGGAGCAATCATTGTAATTGTGGTGTCTGTAATATTCCTAGTGTAACAAGGATGGAGACCTTAACCATAAAGCATTCCAGGCACTGCTTTTACATCTTCAAAACCTCGGTGAAAACTATGTTTTAACCTTGGCCAACAACCTCTTCATACAACAAGGATTTGAACTCCAGCAGGTAAGTTACCTGTGCCTGCTAGCTGCTGTGGCCCTGACCACAAGCTTCCCTGTAACAGTGAGCCTCACCGTTGCCCTGCTTGTATGTATTTTGGAGCACTTGATATGCTTCTTGGAGCTGTTATCTCCTGGGGCTGGCAGAAAAGAGACCAAAAAAACCCCATCCTGTGGATATCAATGGCTGTAGAGCAAAAATAAAGCAGAAGCCTGTTTGCTTTTGACGTATGCCTACACTCAGCCGAAGGTGTGATACAGCCAAAAATGACTTACTCAAGCTGTCTGTAAGCTGCTTACTGCTGGGCTTTCAAGTGGCTCGACTGGGGCAGCAGTAAGCTTGGAGAGGGCTTATCACCTGAGATGTTCTACAGTTTCATGCTAGAGCTGCTGTGCTGAACTTCTTACTTCTTTTTTACTGCATGACAGAGTGGTCTCTAGATTATCTACTGTGGATAGTTTGCTAGTCATATCTTCACTTTGCTGTCAATTATTTCTGTTGAATAATTTGGATACTTAAGCATTAAACATCTTGCATCTTCTCTAATTTTCTTTTTTTTTTTTTTTTCTGGACCTCAGGTATGCAGTCCTCCATGGAAAGACTCTGTCTTGTAGCTTTCTTTATATTTATTTACTTTTTTGCCTGTGTAATAGAATAATTATATCTTCTCCAAAGATTCTCTGAATAAACTTCAGATTGTTGATGTTTCCAAAATGAAGTTTTGTCTTATGGATTCAACAGATCCCTCACCGTTTCTAAAATAGTTCTGGACCACTGATTTCTTTTGAAAGGGAGTAAGTGCTTAATAGATTTAACCAATTCATAATCTTTATTTTGCTTTACAGCAATTTCTAACGTGCACTAAGCAGCTGTATGGAGCAATGCTGCAAACAGTGGACTTTCACGGTGCTATTGAAGCTGCCAGAACAAAAATTAACACTTGGGTTGAAAGTGAGACACAAGGTAAACCAAAGCAAAACCAATAACCATACTATCACTGCCTACTTCCACTACTTCAACAAAAGAAATTCCAGGGTATGAAAAGCAAAGACTTGTTCACATTTCTGGGTGTTCAGTCCCACGTTGTTTAAAGATAGTTAGTTTTCCCATCCACTCTTGACATATTAGAGTAAGTTATCAGCTAAATTATTTCTGAATTAAAGGTGTGTTTGTTGTCAAATACCTTTGTATTCCCGCCCTTGTGCCTGGCATGATAATTGCAGTAATTCCTATAAGACTTGACCAGACAAATTGCTTCCACGAACAGCCACAAATGCGGATAGAGGACAGCGGGGATGGAAGCTGTGAGCTTCATGGTGAGACTGGGAACAACCTGGGTGAGGAGGGAGGATGACTGAAGATCTGGTTATATGTAGAGCGATGCCTACAAAGAAAAGAGATGTGACCAGCAGTAAGACTCTCTATCACAAGCGACAATCAACCAGCTTTTGCTCTTAACAGGCTAACAGAGGCCATTGGCTCTTGCTGATTAGACTAAACATGATATATGCCATTTTCCTTTAGTTTTGCCAAAGCTGCAGTAGCAGCAGGATGAGAATTTTCTGAATCTTCTGGCTGAACATAAACCAGAATTCCCTGGCAGAGACGCACATAGGTTTGAAGGCTTCTGTAATTTCTCAGTTGCCCATCTCCTGACCAAACCTATCCTTATACTGGCAGGGCGGCCTGTGACTGGTGCGGGAAAGAGCTGTTAACCTCAGTTGGCTCCCAGTAAGAGGACTGAAGGTTCAGAAGCCACCTGGCACAGGGTTAGGAGCCATCATTGCTCTGGGTGCTTGTATGAAGCCTGTGGATCTGCCAACTCCTACTTCAGCCTCTGTGTAGAAAGTCAAGAGCTTTACAGCTGGTCAGCTGCTGTGCTTGGTGCAAAGGGAAAGATGCCCTCATATAAAACGAAATATGAGATTAATGGTGCTGCCTCCTTCCCCGTGGTTAGTGTCACCTGACACATATCTATGGTCACTGACACTGGCAGTCATCTGATCCAGTGACCCCAACCTCCCCTGTCCTCCTTGGCTGGTAACAGTGGAGAGGAATCTACCATTTGTTTGACTGTATTGTCCCTGTCCTTTGGATAAACCAAGAACTGGATTTCTAAGTTTCTCCAAAACTAAGTTCGTAGTCAAGTAATTGAGACTCATCCCAGAGTCTTAACGACAACTAGTAAATACTTGTGTATTCCAAAATTTCCTTTAGGTAAAATCAAGGAACTCTTTGCTCCTGGTGTGATCGGCGTACACGCATTGCTGGTGCTGGTGAATGTAATCTACTTCAAAGCATCCTGGGAACACAAGTTTGAGGAACAAAAAACGGTACAGAGAGATTTTAAACTGAATCAGGTACATCTGCATTCTTTAAATCTTAACATTATTTACCCTAGATACCGTGAGTAATGGTGCAAACATTACATGGAAGCACAACGTCCAGGGCTCAGCTGCCCCCTGAACAAGGTGTGGGTGTGCTGGGAACTTAAGCTGCCTCTCCTGTTGGGAAGAGGTAGCAGAAGAGTTTTTGACAGAAAAGCATAATCTTAACTGAAAAAGCGTGCGAGACCCAGAAGTTGCAACAACTGAAGAGTTCTGCTTTGGTGACTGGCAAAACACAAGTGTTAGCCTTGATTAGCACTTTTGAACGTAGTAGTCATTATAGGTAGTTGTCATGGATGGAAGCAAATATGAACATCCCATTTCATACAGGCTCCAGAGGGTCACCCTGGTGTTGATGTATTCAATACATTTTAACACCAGCTGTGCATTTGAGAGATCGAAACAAACAGACCAAACAAACTAGGTGAGATGGTAACAAACTACAAATATACAGTTGCAATTTGAAAAGGAAAATTTATTATAGGGTATTTTGGTTTATTTGTATTATTTGCAACATCGGAAGGTTTATTTTAAATGAATTTTAAGTTTTAGCCCTTTTATCCTGCTATGGGGATATCACCAAAGCCTTCATCATTTAACTAAGGTATCGTCAATATGGTTGCAAAGTTAGCTCTTTAACAAGTACGTTCCTCCAAGTATTGTGTGTGCCATTTAAGCCTAACAGATGTTTCATAGATTTCATAGATTTCTAGGTTGGAAAAGACCTTAGAGATCAATCAGAAAAGACTTTCATTTAATTCAGTTTTGTCTTCTTTCCATATCTTGTGCCTATAATCTATTAACTCTCATCCTTAAAGATGAGAGTTAAAAGAAAACAACAAATTTAGGTCTGATCTTAACTTGCAAAGCTTCGTATGGCATAGTATCTCTTCTGAGTGTTCCTCACAGATCAAAGGGAAAGGTCAGAAAAACATATATTTCTAGTTATTGTGTTGCAGTCCATTGTTAATACATGAGTAAGAAGCTGTTGTTTCGAGTACTTTTGTTTGTGACCTTAAATATATCTTTGAATATGGATATTGACAGTGGTCTATAGCTGAGAACGTTTGGTGCACTGCTGCACTAGGAGAAACTGTGGGATAGAGAGAAGCTAGATAGATTTTTCTTCATAAGCTAATCCATGCTAGCAGGATTTTTTTTTCTGAAAGTATGTCATTTACCAAAATTCTTCTTTCACTGCTTTAGAAGTTTGCTAAGAAGGTAGGTAACTGTAAAAGAGAACTTGAATCTTTACACAGCTTTCAAACAACCCCATCACAAAAAAGGCACGAAAACAAGACCCAGAGGAGCACGCCTGAGAAAGGCTATCATTTTGCTCTTATCCCATTTAGTGCTTCCTCTCTAAACAATCCGTCTGATAAATGACAGCCTGATTCTGGCAGTGCTGTTTCTTATTTATACGAGTCCAAGCTAGGACGTGCAAATCCCACCAGCATCAGCCTGTTTGGAAGTGTAACACTGTTAAGCAACTTCACCATCTGATCAATTGCTGTTTTGTTTTGTTTTGTTTTGTTTTTTTCCAGAGAATTATGCCCTTTATTTATGCATGACAAATCTGATGTTTTGTGTGTCACTATAGGTGCAAGAAAACAAAGAAAAATGTTTAGCCTAACAAAAACTACCACTGAAACTCTGACTACAGGTGTTATACCTCTAATAACTTTAATGTTAAGAGCTGTATTGCTGAAGTGACTGTATACATTTCTTTTAAATAGAATGAGAGAAAACCTGTGCAGATGATGTATCAGAAAGGCATGTTTAAATTAGGCTACGTGGAGGAGATAAGCGCTCAGATCCTTGAACTCCCTTATGCTCAGAAATCACTGAGCATGATCATTCTGCTGCCAGGTGACGTGGCTGATGGATCTACCAGTGGGCTGGAGCAGGTAAGACCCTATATATCACTATATATGGCTGAAAGCTGGTTGTCTGAATTAAGGCTGGGTAAAGATCTAAACTTTCCAACCTGCCCACCTGTTTTAAACTCTTTTTTCACCCTGTTTTCTAGATTGAAAGCACAATGACCTACGAAAATTTAATGCTGTGGACCTCTTCAGAGCACATGTTTGAGACAAGAGTGGAGGTATACCTGCCTCGATTCAAGCTTGAAGGCACCTTTAACCTCAACGAGGTACTACAAGAGATGGGGATGACTGACGTCTTCACTGAATCAAAAGCTGATCTTTCTGCAATGTCGTTTGCAAAATCTCTGGTGCTGTCAAACGTCGTCCATAAGACGTACGTGGAAGTCAATGAGGAGGGCACCATAGCAGCAGCTGCTACAGGAGCTGTCATTGTGAGGAGGTCTCTTCCTCTCACAGAGGTGTTTATGGCTGACCGCCCTTTCTTATTTTTCATCAGGCACAATCCTACCCATACCATTCTTTTCTTTGGCAAACTCTGCTCCCCTTAAAATCAGGGCCATTTTCTAACAGTGTGAGAAACACCTGGTTGAAAATCAGAAATAGCATTTTTTTCCCAATGCATTCTTAATCTTTTGACAGCTGGTTTGCATTTCGAAGTAAACACTGCAAGCAGTTTAGCTTACAACCCATCAATTGGATGCTCTGCCGCTCGGCTCCTGGAATTGCACACACAGATCTGAATCCCGAATAGGAGAAAATTTTGCCTTAAATTCACTGGATATGAATAACATCTTGTTTCCTTGATGCCCACGTCTTTCTGACAGTTCCCCAGCCCAGCCACATAGTGTAGTACAGCACCTTCCTGGGCTTGCAAAGGTGGAATTGGCACGCTGCTGTCTGAGAAGAATTGTCTGCAACTGTTTGCAGTAACTGCCAGTAAAACCAGAGCAGCCCCTGCTCTGTATTTTTTGATTCCTGGCCAGCTGGGTCCTGGTCAGCAGAGAGGTGCTTTAGAGACACTTTTTTCCTTATCTGCATTCTGTAGCTGTGGCAAATTCTTTGCACAGTGGAGACCTGGCCATGATAATTCCCTTTCCTGTAGCAAGTAATAATTCTCTTTCCTGCCAAATAAGAGAAAATTATTTACAACGAACATACCTATTTACTGATAACTGTATCACTTTCTCCCCAGGGATGTGTACTGGATCTGCCTTTGTGCTATTCTGCATTATATAAAAATCTTATCCTAGAAGCAGCTTTGGCTTCATTTATTTATTTAGGTGTATGCCCAGGTCTACAGTGTCATCTTACCAGTTGGAAGAATGATGTGGCACACCTTTCATGAGCCCTGCATCATTTTACGTGAGTTTTTATTAGTATATTATTAGTTATATTAGTTATTTTTTGATGAAAACAGTAGGAATACTCAGTCAGGGAAAAGGACAGGATACTGCCCGCATGGACACATCTAGAAAGGGAGTCGATTGCAACAGTAATTATATATACAGGAGGCCAGGATTTGGGGCCTTTTCTAACCGGACTTCTTCTGCATTCATATTTGAAAAGCTCACAAAACCGTCGAAGTGGGAAGGGACCTCTGGAGGTCATCTGGTCCACCTCTTCTGCTCAAGCAGGGCCCCCCTGCAGTCATGGCCAGTACCATGTCTGGATGGCTTTTGGATACCCCCAAGGATGGAGACTGCACCATCTCTCTGGACAACCTCCCCTAAGACCCCCTAAGTTCTCAAATGACTCCAAAGAGAATTTTGTAGGCACGGTGTCTGCAGGAACAGGATACAAACCCCCATGTTTCCACAGAGGGTTAATTATTTACATAGTAAAGAAGGCTGCCTTTTATATGGGGATAAATCAGGTGATTTCAGTCTCAAGGAACAGGAGAAAAGTCCTCTAAAGCACCCCATTGGAATTACTGATGTGGAAAACCATAACCATGAGCTTCCAAGAAACGTGTTTTCTACCTCATCTGCTGCTGTCTGGTGAATTTTAACAATCTGAGATGCAGATCTGAAAGACAGGGCTCTCTCCATGCTCTGAGAAATGAAGAAAGGTTTTATAAAGGGCAGCGTAAAGATCATGGAAATCACAGCTAAACATAACCTGGGAAGGTTTTTAATCTGTGGGACAAAAATAAAACTTGCTGCTGGCTGATAGGGAGATGCTACTGCTAATTTACTGGTTCAACATAAGTAACATCTTCCTCAGAGTGATTCTGCATGATGTTTAACAAGCTAATGTTTGCAACATGCTTTATGACTCATGAAAACTAAGATATACATTAGCTGTTCGCCATATAGTTGGGTGTAAAGCACGCTCATCATCTTCATTCGTGATTACTGTAGCTTCTGCACCATAAGTTACCTGGGGCGCTTTGGATCAGAACGTCTAGGAAACAAGGTGAATGATAACTGAGCAAGAACAGACAGGAGCAGGACAATAAAAGAGTCCAAGAAACTGCTCTTGATTGTCTAATCTGAAGGGGTAGTACAGCTGCAGCAGCAGTTCTCCAGGCTGTGTCCGGGTTTCCCTTCTGCAGGCTGGCAGCCTGGTGTGCCTATCAGACAATGCTTTCGTTACCCCAAGCTGCCATCATGCAGTGTTGGCATTCCCCAGGGAAGTTCTGAGCACTGCAACCTCAAAAATCAACAATGTTTCTGAAAATGCAGCGACAGGGATTCCTGTGATGAAGTGGCAAATGCCACAGGGGAAAAAACTTCCCTTTATTCCCGACTTTTCTCAGAACTGAGGACACAGTGGCCAATCCTCTGTGCATCTTTTTTGGCACCCTTGAGTTAAAAGAGGAGTTTCCGATGATGCTGTGGGTTAGCAGGGGGATGAATCTGCACTTAATACCAGTGAAGGATGCAGGAGCTTAGTCCTGAAAGTGAAAGAAATAGAGGGGGAGGTTTGGAACAAAGATCTCCAATTAGCACTGGCTAAACTGGGCTGTTCCTGCGTTGCATGAGCGCAGGAGCCGTGAAGATGTGTGGTCAGCCCTGCATGGCATAAGAGATGCAGCCAGGATGTTTCTGGTACATGCCATGGCAACAGTTTTACTACTGCCACAATCTCATAAACTATGACAAGAGGATTAATGGCATGAAGGAAAAAACCTGGAACTGGAAGTGGGCGAAACTCGACTGTGATTGCAATAATGGTTATTGGCAAAACAGACAGCTTTTAAACTATTTTTTAAGCTGTTTTTACAAGGGTGTGTAGAGATAGGACAAGAGGCAATGGATTTAAACGGAAAGAGGGGAGATTTAGATTGGATATAAGGAAGACATTTTTTACATTGAGGGTGGTGAGGCACTGGCACAGGCTGCCCAGAGAAGTTGTGGCTGCCCCATCCCTGGAAGTGTTCAAGGCCAGGTTGGATGAGGCTTTGGGCAACCTGGTGTAGTGGAAGGTGTCCCTGCCCATGGCAGGGGGGTTGGAACTAGATGATCTTTGAGGTCCCTTCCAATCCAAACCATTCTGTGATTCTATGATTCTATGATTCTATATACAATAGAGGTCCTTCAGTAGCGCTTTTCCAGAATGTTCAAAGCTATCAGTAAGTGTATGGAAAAGCTAGACTGTTTCCAAACTGCACCAGTCAAGTGAGGGAGTAATGCAAAACTATCTTGGAGCTCTGTAGATGGCAGAAGTTCACAGGACAACTTAGGAAACAACAGGTCCCATAGATCCTGCAAAGTAGCCTCTCTTGAAGTGTACCAGTTGAACCTTTTCTGGTTTATTTTTTAGCCCTTGGGGTAAAGCTTTCCCCAAGAGTCAAATCAGTGTTTAGGTTTTCTACAGCAGTACCTCTGGAGGTCTTGACTCCTCTGGAAATGTAAGTATTCCATCTTTACGAGATTTGAAACACATGTTGGATTGGTTTGTAAAGTAGAGTTTAACTCTCTTTGAAGATAAGTGAGTACTACAAACAGTTGTGTATAGGGTAGGCGTTTCACTTTACTACTCATAATGTACGGACTGATTTTGTGACTTCAAGGGCCAAATTGTGGCCTTTTGACCAGTTAATACCAGGGAAGAACTGAGTACCCAACTCAGTGAGAAGATGAGCACCATGTGACACAGCATCCACAGCTGCTAAAGAATCTTCCCAGAAGGGCTGTGGCCCCGCAACTTGGAGAAGACGGCCGAAACACCGTGCAACCCGAATGCACCGTGCCAAGTTTCAGTAAAAGTGGCAGAGACTTGTTGTGTAAATTCAACCGCTTGCCTCGCGCCGAGGGGAAACGGCGTGCAAAGTTAGCTCAAGGCAGAATGCAAACATTAAAAGTGATACCGTGAAAGTGAAACTTTCAGCATTGATCGTGTTTCTAAATCTAGTCTCAGGCCATGAGCACTGAAAAGTGGTATTTCTTCACCTTATAGAATCATAGAATCATAGAATTACATCCTTATAGAATCATAGAATCACATCCTTATAGAATCATAGAAATCCATCCTGATGGATATCTTCTTTTCTCGTGCAGCCCCTTGGGAGGCAGCTAGCTTTTGGCACAGCACTTGTTGTAGCCTGTGACCTTGCAGCAGCAGCCGTGTCTCTGCCTCTGCTCACACCCTTGACAGCTCCTTTTCTAAGTGCTCCCAGCACATCTGGCTCTGCTGCCTGGCCATGTTCTCCCCTGCAATCTGTCAGCACGAAGCAGTCCCAAATACCAGCGGGCAATAACCAGTCCTGCCTTTCCCACAGCCCTCAGCCTGCCAAGGGAGAAATTGCCTTACTAAATGGCAGAGGGGAAAGGCTGTCTCAAGCCAGAGTTTCATAATAGGGTAAAGTTCCCCCAAATAATCTTTTCAGATTATATTAATGCAATCATCATGTGATATCTACATGGGGGCTTAGCTGGATCTTGCTCAGTGGAGTGAGCTGCTGGTCTTCTGTGAGAAATACAATATTGTGCCCGGAGCAGTGCTGAGCACAGTGCCTGTTGGCCGAAAATAAGCAGAGTGCTCAGCCCACAGCCAGCCTCCAGACACCAGTGGGAAACGTGAAAAAGCTGACTGCTGCCTGTGAAGCAGAACAGCCTCCAGGGTCCAAAGACAAGTAAGGGCTTTGGCAGCGGGGTACCCATTCTGTGCTCATGAATGATGATGAATATGAAGGATCCGGGAACACATATCCAGAGGGCATTTATGTATCTCCTGTGCCCCTAGACAGGAGCAACTCCACCCTGCTGTGTTTTTGCTTGTTGTTTTTCTTGTTACAAGAAAGCTGGAGAGAGACTTTTTGCAAGGGCATGTAGCGACAGGACAAGGGGTGATGGCTTTAAACTGAAAGAATGTAGATTTCGATTAGATCTAAGGAAGAAATTCTTTGCTTTGAAGGTGGTAAGGAACAGGAACAGGTTGCCCAGAGAAGCTGTGGATGCCCCATCCCTGGAAGTGTTGAAGGCCAGGTTGGATGAGGCTTTGAGCAACCCGATGTAGTAGGAGGCCCTGCCTGTGGCAGGGGGGGGGGGACTAGATGACCGTGAAGGGGCCCTCCACCATTCTATGATTCTGTGAAAAATCTACT